GCTCATGCGAACAAATACCACGAAAGTATTTATAGAAAAGGCACAGGGCGTAAGTAAAGTGAGTGAAGGTGAGATGCCAGGTCAGGACCAATAATATTTCTGATACTACTTTGGATTTTATAAAGAAATAGATATATACAATGATGTGTGCAAATATGTGTAGAGACTAGTTTCAATACACACACACACACATACATATACACACACAGATACATACATACATATATATATATATATATATATATATATATATATATATATATATATATATATATATATGACCGCCATGAAAAGATGAAATTTATTGTTATTACCACTCATCATGATAATAGAAAAAAATCTATTTTTATCAGTTATTACCATGAGTGGTAATAAAAATAAATTTTCACTTTTCATGTTGGTCATAAAATTTTGTACCAAAAATATATCATTATATATATATATATATATATATATATATATATATATATATATATATATGTGTGTGTGTGTGTGTGTGTGTGTGTGTGTGTGTGTTTTGTGTTTGTGTGTATATTGTGTATATGTGTCTGTGCGTGTGTGTGTACGATGGGAAAAATTGTCGTTGATTTTTTCTTTTATCTTATTGACTGCACAGAATATTAGGGTCAGTTGGACACCGTCTATGAGAATAACTGTACGAATACGCAATTAATTGTATGCTATTTTCCTTGGCATTCACGCCGGAAACTCCAATACGAACATTGCAGAGAATTTGGGTGTCAATTTGTGAACAGCACAGAGGACTCGCAAAGTGTTGGATGAGTCTAATATTTATTACGAAAGTACGGAAACTTGGGAAAAAATACTGTGATCATTTTGATAATAAAAGAACCACGTAATTTGTTGGTGAGATCCAGACCATGATTGAAATCTATCCCTTCAAGTCATTCAGGTCTGCTGGAAAATCCTGTGTCTGGCAACAAGACTCTACACCATGTTACACAAGCTGGAGAACCCAGTCATGGATGTCAGACAATTTTAGCGACCACACAACCCCTTACATTTGGCCACGTAGCTGCCAAAACTCAAACCACCTGATTATTATGTGAAAAGCATTTAAGCAAGAGACAGACAAAACTTCTTGTAACACAAAAGATGAAATGAAAGTACGGATTATGGCAGGATGATACACCAACTTAAACAACAGACAAGAAGATCGTTCAGAAGAGTTGCTGAAGATTCCTAAATTTTCAGATGGATGTTGTTGAAGCCAATGGTCAGTTTTATTGAATAAATTTACTCTTTATTATTTCAAGATAACTTTGTATAATTTTGGTAAATATAGCTCTTAAAATGAGATTGTTTTCATTTTTGCGTATTTTCGACGATAATTTCTACATCGCACCCAGTGTATATAAGTTTTATGCATTTTTACATGTCTGCATTTTGTCGTCATTCATATTAAATGATCATATATATATATATATATATATATATATATATATAATAATAATGGACTGTCGCGTCTGTTTCGACGTATGAGGATCTGACAGCTTATTGATTCAGTTATGAAATTATGTGCGATAATCTTAAAGGGCATATGGTGCAAGTGTGAGGATTGTGGGATGAGATCACTGTTAGATTGGTTGACCTTTTAGTTCTTGCTCTCGCTTCTTGAAGATGATTCAGACAAGCAGATTGAAAATTGCTGAGTCCACTTAAACACGTTGATCTCCATTCTACCCACTCCAAGGCTAAGCGCTCACGAGTGTTATGTTATATATATATATATATATATATATATATATATATATATATATATATATATATACAAATATTCTTAAATCCCTATAATTGGTAACAGAAGACATTGGTTTATACCAACGGTTTCCCATACTTAATATTCTCGTTTTCACTCTCGCGTGGTCATGTGTGACGTCATGAGCTGCGGTGCGATTTTTGCTTCCAGCGTCTTTTAAGCACGAGTTTGTCGTTGCTTGGAAATCTTCCATGTGAACAAAAACAGACTATCATCACTGTTTTGTCCGTGTATTGCTTAATATATTGTAATTTAATTGTCATCTTTGATAATGGCTTACGTAAGCCAAAGGCTTAGATTGGATTAAAATATATGTATCAATACTGTGATTTTCTTTCTTTGTTTAATGATAATGTCATTAACCTTATCAGACGATATGAAAAGAATTTACACAAAATAAATAGACAAAATTGCATATATTATTTAATGAAACATGCATCAATATATATATATATATATATATATATATATATATATATATATATATATATATATATGACAAAAAATTTGCTGTTTCTGTCCAAGGAGATTTTGTCTCTTCTTTCACTTGACTAGTGAACAAGTTCGCTAGAAAATAGAATTAATAAAAGTCGATTTCATAGAAAAGAAATCAATAAACGAATGAGTGTTTCTCTTTTTACTCCCCTGAAGGAAATCGACGTTAAGGGAAGGGGATTATTAAATTCCTATCACCAGCAAAATACGACAAAAGGCCACAAAGTACGACATATTTCAGCACGCAGAGCGACTTCATAACAAGATTTGAAATCAGTTTTTAGACTGACTTTAATAGCGTTTCGGTCAACTGTGAACCAAGAACAGATTTTAATATACGTGCTTTTATATTAAAGGACAAAAAACAGCTACTTTGTGCACACTTATCTCTATATATCTATATCTATCTATCTATCTATCTATTTATCTATCTATCTATCTATCTATCTATCTATCTATCTATGTATATATATATATATATATATATATACATAATGTATATATCTATATATATCACTATATATAGGTATATATCTGCTATATATATATATATATATATATATATATATATATATATATATATAATGTGGGTCAAATAACTTTTTATCAGGAATGAGGTACCTTTGGATATTTATTGTATACAATTTTATATGTTCTGTTATGATAAATACATTGAGTGTTGTTTTCTTCGGTTTGTGGATCTATCTATTAGACGGGATCTATATATATCTATATATCTATCTATATACATATATATATATATATATATATAATATATATATATATATATATATATATATATATATATATATATATATATTGAGAGAGAGAGACGAGAGAAATGGGAGTAAGAAAGCACACATATGAGAATCAAGCAAACAGATTGATAAGCAACATGAATATTATATATTATTTATTGCCAAATAATGAAAATATTATAAACGTACCACTATTTAAAATATACTTATATATATATATAATGTGGGTCAAATAACAAGAAAAGTCATGTATATATATATATATATATATATATATATATATATATATATATATATATATATATATTCCTGGTTTCTGCTCAAAATGTTTTTTAATGATACATAAACATATTTAAAATATACATTTATTTTTCGATTTCACTGTTTAATTCTTTAATCAATTTGAACTGCTATATATGTTTGTGTATTTGGAAAGGACGCTAAAATTTTTCAGAATTCATACGCGGGAGGAAGTCGGAGAAATTGGAAATCTCTTCAGTAAATACACAAAAGTAGTACGACTCGTAAGATGTGTTTTCTAACTAAACCTATTCAGTCTTGACAATGAAGCAATCCTGAGATAATTACTCCAAATATTTAGTATTGGAGGCCATGATTTCAGCAACACAAGATATACCGATGCCAGTGTTGATAACAGACACAAAAAGTAAACTACAGGGACATCTAGTAAAGTGAAGCAAGCGGAGAAAGAATTAATGGACGCAATTACCTTTTACAAAATTTATACATACACATATATAAACACACACACATGCGCACACCTACACAGGTACATATATACCTGTTTTTACAGCCAATTTGTCTAAGTTGTGCAATAGCATGGGAAAATTGTCCATCTAAAAAATGTTTAATATAAAATAAAAACACAAAACTAATTGACTTTCTTTTTACCAGGTTTTCAGATAAGAAGTTTAGCTAGGTTGACACCATTTTTCATAAGTAACACTGAAAAAAAATTATTATAAAGTTATTTAGCTAGTGATAGAAGAGGTTAAAATCGTTTTGTGACAGACCCACAGTCTTCCGAACTGAGCAATGATGAGGGGAAAAATTTCAAGCCTTCAGTAATGGTACCGATATTCCCACCCTAGCTTCTATCTTCAAAGTCCATTCAAGAACTATGAAGAGAAGGGTGAGTAAGTGTAAAAAAAGTGTGGACAGTAGAGCAAAAACTGGATCAGGAGTTCACAACAGGAAAATGGATCCTCATTTCAGCATAGACCTAAAGAGATCAATTAGACAAGTTCCAGTTGGAATTCATAAGACGTTTGGCACGTGAGAAAGATGTTTCAGCTATGACAGTTCAAAGAACAATGAAAATAGAATTGAAAGTGAAATAATTTGGAGTATTTGGGCATCAATCCCTCTTTTATATATGTATCAAGAAAAACGACTGACAAATGTTTTATTTCATTTCTAAAAACATTTTCTTATTACAAATAACATCAGCTAAAAATGAAATGCAAAATATTTCATTCGTAAAATGGTTTTCTGGGGCGCGTTTCGTCTGCAGATGGAACTTCTTTAGTTTGGATTAACATAGGTAAGGATTAAACGGATTTATTAAAGAAAGCATTATTTCATTAGTAGCAAAGCCCATTTTCCATAAAATTGGTTGCATTAGTATTACAGTTAGTAGTCTGAAGAAGTTTCTTCTCGGAACGAAACGTGTCACTAAGATGGTTTTCTTTTTTCATTTTGTCATTCACTTGCGCAATATCATTTTGATTTCTAGATTTTCATATCATATCTTGCAAACACATACATTATATATATATATATATATGTGTGTGTGTGTGTGCGTGCGTGTGTGTGTGTTTCTGCGTGTTTGTGTGTGTCTGTGTGTACAGTGAGATAGATAATGAATAGGATGAGAGAGATAGATAGAAACACAATAGATTGATGGATATAAACATAATTATACAGAAACATAGACAGAAACATAATTACATAGATAGAGAGATAGATAGAATCAGAGTGCGATAGATACAAACAGAATTAGATAGATAGATAGATAGATAGATAGATAGATAGATAGATAGATAGATAGATAGATAGATAGAAACTGAAATAGATCGATAGATATAAAGTGAATCAGATACATAGATAGGTAGACAGATAGATAGATAGATAGATGGAAACTGAAATAGATCGATAGATACACATTGAATGAGATAGATAGATAGATAGATAGATAGATAGATAGATAGATAGATAGATAGACTGAGAGGCAGACAGAAACTGAAATAGATCGATAGATATAAACTGAATGAGATAGATAGATAGATAGATAGATAGATAGATAGATAGATAGATAGATTCTTGAGAGCACACCATTGACATTTTTGGCGCAATTTCGCTTCTCTTTGATCGACTGCCGTCAGCAACCTCCGAACTAAATTGGAAACATGTATCATGCCGTGACCTTCATCGTATTGAAACATCGATGCCGTGGAACTCCCATTGCCTATCAACGCCACTTGTGAATAGGCGAAATATCAAGCCTGGCACGCCTGCACTGACGGAGCCGTTTTCTCTGGCTTAATATCCGTCGGGATGACAATCCTGCGTAAGTATTTCCTCCGAGGATCCGGCAAAACACGGATTGGGATATTTACCTGGAAGGCTGCGGCTCGGATTGGCTCTGTCGTTGTATGCATATTAATAATATGGTGAAAGAAAAAAAATAAAGACATATTGTTGTCATGTGATCAGTTTTGACTGAAATCTGAGCGATGCCTGTTGATAAGTAAAAAATAAAAAAAAAAGTAAAAGAAGAGGAAGAGGAATGGTATTTACAGCGAAGTTGTTTTCTAGTGTATGCATGAATTTCATTTAAGAGTGAGAAACGATAACAACATTGTAGAGAGAATACAATCAAATCGAGTAAAGCTAACATGAGTTACACGTCTACACACAAATATGAAAACAGCCAGAATTATAGCAGCAACTTCTTCTATAGATTATTATTATTATCATATTATTCTCATTATATAAATATCACTATCTATTGTTTTGAAGTCGTAATTCAAGGATCAGATGCAGGTCGTAAAAATGACCATGTTTCATATCATTTCATCTTCACTCAACTTCTAGAAAACCTCCCCCCCTTCATAAAAATAGTGACACTATCTCTCGATATATATATATACATATATATATTTCGATAAACGTGCAATCAATTTACAAATTCATGAATTATTCATACAAAAACAAATACAAAGGCCAATGATTTAATTGGCGAGAAATCCATCGTCGCAAACAATTCAAATAATATACAAAAACCTCCGGACCTGTTATGAATGTATTTGTTTTGTATGAATAATTCATGAATTTGTAAATTGATTGCACGTTTATCGAAATTAAAATAACTGATCCAAGTGCGACTTTTGGATAAGAAGTGCGACATTAGTGTAATTATTGAACAATATAGTTCATGCCACTTTGACAGAAAATTTACCAGTAATAAATTCGCTTATCACCATATTTGTACAAGAACGCACAACTGTAAAATTTAAAATCAAACTCAGCGTTGCTACTGCACGCTGCAAAAAAATAAATCATTTCCAATAGCATTTTTCGGATACAACAATACATATATTTTCGTTGTCCTCTTATTACTGAGAGAAAAAACAAGAACAACATCTATTCCATACCTGAAGATGTTTGTAGGAACAGACGAAAGCTTGTAGTAAAATAAGAACTAATGAAACATAAATTTATAGAAACAAGGATCTTTTGATTCATATATATATCCCTGTGACAGATGCTTGCTCAGGCACATTCAATATTGATAACATCCATAGAGCTGACACCTGTGATTTCTACTGCAACTATGCTGAGTGGACCTTAGATACTGTTTCTTAAGGGGTACCCATCATCTGGGGTTATCAGCAACAGAAGAAGGTCATTACGCTGAAACCCTGGTTACGACAGCTTGTACTTACGTGCTATCAATATCAACGTCCACGAAATATTCCGTCTACCCGTTTTCCCTCACATTACACAGGTCAAAGCGGGTTATGTCTTAACAGCATTTTTCAAAAGCACCGCACGATTCGATCTGCTGCCCACTCCGATAGCATCAAGACCTCACCTACCTGACAAATTCTACTACGCTGAGATTTGAACCCGGATCTCATGGTTGGAAAGTGAAGCTATGTCAGAAATACGCCGTCGTGTCTGATTAAGTTTAAAACGTAACTCATTAAAAGGAAACACATGAGCACATCACGTGGTTTCAACGGGGGGAGTCATCTTTGACCTCTAAACGAATAGCTATTGGGCTATTACTCATTTGTTACTTCGTCGATAGTCAGAAAAGCGTTGTAGGCTGCTGAAGTGGATAAAATTGTTGCCATCAACGGTCGAAATCTGAAGTGCAGATTTCATTCGACTCAGTTCATTACGAACGGAATAGAAACATCATCTTTCCTTCTTATTCAAATTCCTTATATGAAACAACGATAAACATGAAAGATATTTGAATCGTATTATTACACAACTTATATTCAGACTGTTGTCCTCATCTTTGTTGCTGTTATCGCAACCTTTCGGCAGTTGTGCTTTCTGTACTTCATCAGGTGTATATCGATCTGCGTAACCTAGAGGGAATTCTGAACTGAACCCTTTATTTAATCTCCAAGTGTAAAGTGTTCTGGTGATATCCTGAGACATGAGCAGTGGATGTGGATAAAATGTCCTCAGTTTACACATTTCGTGAAACAATTATGATTCCGGACAAAATTTAATTGTTTCTCTGTCATCAACAATGTGGACAGTTTATACAAATCATCTATTAAAGAAGGAATATGGATTGCTAAAACGAACTTTATTTAAATAAGTTAAGTAATATATGGCAATTTATGGGGATTTTTAAACATAATTTTCTCGAATTGTACATACTGAGGTTTGTATAATCATTCCTCTTTTTTTATTCTCTTTCTAAGAAAGCTGATTTATTATCTATAACAAATATTTTATTTTATTGTAATTTGGCATATCAACTTAAAAATTAATACGACGTAAAGCATTAGCTCTTGAAGAGATGAGAACTTATGTATCATATATATATAATATATATATATATATATATATATATATATATATATATATATATATATATATATGATTAATAGAAATAAGGTTGATGCCTGTGTGTAGCTATATTTATAATTAAAAGAATTCAAGAAATCAATCGATCGATTCCATTACCTTGGTTTCAACCATTATAGACATTTCCAGACCAAAAACATTTTAAACCAGAGATGAAAAATTATGTCCTGTTTTATATATGCTAAAAATTCATTTTGGGTATATTTGAAGAGGGATGAAAAGAATGTATATATATATATATAAAAGTAAATATAGTAGAATAAATTGAACTAAATTCATCCAAGTAAATAAATAAACTAACCAATCCCGATAAAGTTACCGTTAGAAAAAACAAATAAAGATAATCAACCCAAATAAACACAAAATAAAAAACTGTTTCTGCCAAAATAATAGTTAGAATAAAACTACAACAACCAACCCCCAAACGGAACAAATAGCTTTAATTAAATTCTCAAACCAAAACAAAACTATTAAATAAATGATATAAACAAATTTTTACTACGTTAATAAAAAACACCGATTAAAAAATAAGTAAATAAATAAATAAATAAATAAAATAAGAAACAAAAAATAAAATTAAATAAAAACAAGCAAAATAATTTAACCCAAATAAATAAATAAACGACTTCCGGTAAAATAACCGCTATAATAGACTACCCACAATGTACCACTGACCCGTATATGTATAAATAGCCGAGAAAAATAACAGCACACATGGCTGACGATTGCATATAACATGAAACAGACTGTCACCTCTAAGTGTTGACTTCTATGTTCACTTTTATATATATATATATATGAATAAAAATGACAATAGGAAAAATGTTAATTGCTGACGCGTTTCGTCCAATGTGGACTTTATCAAAGCAAAATACGAAAATGAAATTAAATGAACAAAGTAACTAATAAAAACAAAAACAGAATGTACCTAGCAACTGGAATGTAGAGAAACGCTATTTTCATATTTTTCACTGAAAAATAACGTCAGAGATTGTCAGGTGTGGAGAATATTGTCATTATATCTGTGTTGATATATTCAGCCATTTTCTTTCGATTTTATGAATCTGTTGTGCATATTTGTTTGTAAGAGCATTAATCTCTGACGTTATTTTTCAGTTAAAAAATATGAAAATAGCGTTTCTCTACATTCCAGTTGCTAGGTACATTCTGTTTTTGTTTTTATTAGTTACTTTGTTCATTTAATTTCATTTTCGTATTTTGCTTTGATAAAGTCCACATTGGACGAAACGCGTCAGCAATTACCAGTTTTCCTATTGTCATTTTTATTCATAAATATTGTCTTTTCTACCGATTAAATCGGAGAAATTTTCATATATATATATATATATATATATATTTCATTTAAGCCCCCAAAGATAAATTTCCAATACACTTGGTTTTCCCCTCCTTCCTCTTCTCCTTCCCAACCTCGTCCCATTCTACCATCCGTCATGCTACGCGCTTATTCATTTATTTCATGGTTGTCAGGCAATTTCTGCGACCATAGTACCCTTTATATCTGGCCACTTTATTCCCCAGACTGCTACCCATTGATTATTATGTGTGGGGCGTAGTTGAGCGGGAGACCAACAAAACACCTTGCAGCACCAAAAAAGAACTGAAGAGAAGGATTACGGCAGCATTTGCAAACTTAAATAAGGAGACCGTCTAGATGAGTTGCAGGAGATTCCGATATTTTCTAAAGGCCGTAATTGACGCCAATGTTGATTTTATTGAATCAATTTATTCTTTACTATTTCAAGATATTTTTGTATAATTCTGGCCACTATATCTGTTAAAAATGAGATGTCAGTGCTATTATCATTTTAGCGTCATTTAGACGACAATTTATCCATCGCATCCAAGGTCTGTCCGTTTCATTTACACCCTTGTGAAATTTAATCGAAACAACGAATTTAGTTTCTTTTCTTTCACTATACGGTCAGTTTTAGACCCACTGTAGTGACAGGGTGTTTTCGATTTCTATTTTTTTCCTCGGATTAGGTCATTTGCGGTGAGGTGCAGTAATATGAATCTATTTTCGGGATGTATGATGAAATTTGTTTGGTCTTGAAAAATATTGCGTCATTCGTGATTGCATAAGATTTTCATCACGCGCAGACACTATTGTCTCGACTGTCGATTAGTTGTCCTGCAGCTAAATGTCTGCAATGGATGTTACTCCAAGAAAGTATTTGAAAATTGTAATGCTGCGCGAACACACTGGCAGCCTTACTAGTGAGAAAACCGAAGCACTATAGACTGGCCCGGAAACTCTCTTGATTTAAATCCAATCGAGACTCTGTAAGGAATACCTTCGTGGAATAGA